CTAAGATATAGGCATAAACAAGTATTTGCTGAACAGAGCCCTAATAGCACAATAAATATACTCTAAATAAAAAACAGGATCACATTGAGTTAAAAGCATAGCAAAGAAGACAACCAACAGAGTGAAGAGACAAGCTAAAGAATGGGGAGAATATTTCTAGCTTCTTCTTGGACATCTAACATCTAGAATATATAAAGAATTCCAAAAATTAGACCCCCAAATAAAAGACGTAACCAAAAAATGAGCAACTGAAATACTTTCAGAAGAAAAAGTGCAAATAGCCAATAAATATATGATATGTTCCACATTGCTAGCCATTAGAAAAATTCAAATTAATTCAAATACTATCGATGTTACTCCAGAAAGAATGGCTATCATCAAGAAATCAAATAATAATGAATGCTGACAAGGATGTGGGAAAAAGAAACTCTTCTGCATTGTTGGTGGAATGTAAACTAGTACAACCACTATGGAAATCACTGTGGAAAGGCTTCAAAAAACTGTGATGAGAAATTCCATTTGATCTAACTCTTCCCCTCCTAGGTATCTTCCTGAAAGAGTTCAAGGCATCCCAATACAGAGATATAGATATAGATATAGATATAGATATAGATATAGATATAGATATAGATATAGACATAGATATAGATATATAGATATAGATATGGATATAGATATATGCATGTTTATAACAGCATAATTCATAACAGCTAGATCTTGAAAGCAGCCTGTATGTCCTCAACAAATGTATGGATAAAGAAAATGTGATATTTGTACACAATGGAGTACTACTAAGTCATAAAGAAAGATCAGTTTGAGGCATTGTAGGTAAATGGATGCAACTTGAGACCATAATATTAAGTGAAGTAAGTCAAACACACAATATTAAATACTGCAGGATTCCTCTTATATGAGAAACTCAAATTAGAGGGAAAGAGAGAGAAATAAAATTAGAAGAGAAATAAAAATTAAGGAGGTTTTTTTTTTCAAATGGATGAGGAAACAAAAGAGTGTGCAAAGAAATTGAAAAGGGAAAATGATGAAAATAGAGTTTTTGGAAATGGAAATGAGACTAAGAGCTGGAAGGAGCAAGGAGGCAGGAAGGGGAAGATGAAAAAGAGAACTGAGATGTGCTATGTCTCTGTACCAACTCCCCATGAAAATGTAATCATTATGTACTGCAAATGGGAACAGTACTAACACAAAATTTTAAATAGTAAAAATGTGTTTCTTTTTAATTGATGGATGAGTTAAAATTCTCAGGTTATCTTGCCTATAAGTATGTTTGGCAACATACTTATATTATGGTTACAGAAGAAACTATATATAAAATATATCTTTTGAAAATTACTTTACGGTCCAGTATGAGTTGTTTTGTGCTCTTAAAAAGAATATGGATGCAGTTATTGAATGCAACAATTTAATTGCATGTACAAATTTTGATTTTCTATGTATTTATTCTTTTTATCAAGTTTATTACTTGTGTTGTTCCTTATTGGTTTTTTGATCCAGGGTATGCTAATTATTGACAGAGTTATGTTACAATTTTTCCACATAATCACTAATTCATCTATTTATTTTTATAGTGATTACCTTTTGATTTATATATCTCAAACCAAACAAATTTAGAATTGTAATTATCTTCCTAATAACAACCTCCTTACTAAATAACAATCCTCTTTATTATTAGTACTAGTCTTTGTCAGCTATTAAGAAAACTGTACCAGTATCATGTTGAGGGAAGGAATTTATATTTTTTAGAGTATGTTTTTCCATCTTTTGCTTTCAATCTTTTTTCCTTCTGTTTTGAGTATTTCAAACCAAGAAACACCTCTCTGGATTTTGTTTTGTTTTACTTCATTTCTTTTGTTTTAAAAAAATGTATCACAGAGCCGGGCACGGCAGTGCACGCCTATAATCCCAGCATTTGAGACAGTGAAGCAGGAGAATCATTGTGAGCTTGAGACCAGCCTGGACTACAAAGTGCGCTCGAGGCCAGCCTGTCTCAGAAAGACAAAAAAAGATGAAAATGAAACTGGGTATAACGATCACACCTGTAATTCCAGGGCTTGGGGAGGCAAAGGCAGGAAGATGGCAAGTTCCAGTCAAGAATTTAGCAAGATATTCTCTCACAATAAAATACAGAAAAGGGTTGGGGCTGTAATGCAGTGCAAAAGGCCTGGGTTTAGTCCCTAGGACCATAAACAAGGCATGAAAATCATAAGACCAGAATTTATTTTTTTTGAGACAGGGTCTTGCTATGTAGTTCAGGCTGGCCTTGAATTCATTGTGTAACTCAGTCTGGCCTCAAACTCATGGAGGCCTCCTGCCTTATCCTCCTTAGTACTAAGATTATAGGTGTGTTCCACCAGGCCTGGCTTAGGTTAGCTTTTTTAAATATAATGAAATTTCCAAAAAATGAAGTTTGTCACATTTTATGGGGAAAATAGGGCCAACACTATCTTTCTTGTCAAGCCTCTTTTATAGATGCCAAATTAAGAGTCAATTGGAAAAGTTTTCCTAATATCAGAAAGCTAATCAGTGACAAAGCCAAGGGCCAAATATGATACCGCATTGCCTAGCATTCTTCCACCACAGAGCTGCTCTTCACCATGGCTGTGGTAGCCGGAGTTGATGTCTTAAAAAAGGACCAAGAATTTCATCTGCCTTCAAAGAGATAGGTGTTAAAACTATTTCCTTACATGTCAGAAAACTGAGACTTAGTCATTTACCTGTGAGCAAAGCAGTTTTGTGTTAGAAATAAAAATACTCAACTTCTAGAAAATTTTAAAATCTTGGGAAACAAACAAAACTTTGTAGAAGAAAAAAAAAAGGTTAATGAGAGCTGAGGTACATACACCTATTACCAGCTTAGAAATAAAAATGTGTTATTTACTAGGTCTGCTCAGAAAGTTACATGAAATTTTTTATGCAGATTTGACAGCATGAAATGTTTTAGTTTTTGCTGTTTTAAAAGATGGAAACAACCAGTTGGATACAAAAAGTAATCAATAGTCTATTTAAAAGAAATTTAGCATGCTGTTTGGACTCCCTGTTCTCCTGAATAAAAGCCAGCCCAGAAACTGCCATTTCTGGGGAAAGAGCAAGCACTGGCCCACATTGGGGGCTCCTCTCCGACCTGGGCCTCCAGCTCCCCAGCTTTGTCCCTGCCCACCCTGGTCTCTGCTTCTTCAGTTTTACGGGGCGACCCTCAGAGGCTGACTTCCAAGTCAGTTTGGCTCTTTGGTTTTTACGCAGTAGATTTCCAAGCAGACTCTTTCTGTTACAACAGGAGTTGCCAGCAAGTAAGATGCATCCTTCGAAGGACACTGGGCAAAAGCCAAATCCCTAGAGGACAGAGTAACTCCTCTGGGGGCATTGCTGGCCCCTCAGGAGCTAACTGCATAAAAGGTGGCTACTCTGCCTCTATGAAATCACTTTTCAAATACGCACTTTGAAGACTTCCTTGCTATTTCAGGTCAAGGTATGAGCAAAAATCTAACTGAATTCTGGTCTAAAACATTCGTAACATCATACATTACTAGACATTAAAATTATCTCATATCTTCATGAAACTACTCACTTCCTTCTTAATTTGTAATGGAAACCACAGAGATTCTCCTCCATGAGGTACTCTTTACAAGAGCATTTAATCAGGAATGATCTTACAGATACCATCAAAGGTGAAATTATTCTGAAGTCTTCCTATTCCATAGTTTTGAAATAAACTCAGAGGAAGTAAACCCAGGGGGAGACTATAAAGCACCTTTAACTGAAATGTCATACTGATCACAACCAAATTGTCTGGTTCCCAAGGACAGCAATTCCTGACCTCTGGCTCCTGCCTCAGGCCTCTTTCTTTGGGAAAACCAAAGGAGAAAAATACTTAGAAAGAAAGGATGCTATAGCATATGAAGTTATATTCAAATATTTCAAAGAAAAAGACACTATGGTAACTACTATTAAGTCGGGTTATTTGGTGGTGAAGCACTAGGTTGCTGAAAGTGTCATGCTTTAACCTGTATTGTTATGTTGTTATGCCCCCTTTTATCTCATCCTCTCCCTTATTCATTAAAAAATTATTTAATTTTTTAAATTCCTTTTTTAAACTAAGGGGAAAAAATCAAAAATCTAGCAGGATATATTATAGTAACTTTTTTGATTTCCTATCAACTTGAAGTCCTGTAATACCCCCGTTATCTTTTTTTGACTGATTAGACTCTATTCTGCTCTGTATGAAAGTATCAAGTATGAGAGTATAGGCAACTACTATAAAGACAATAAGATTCACTATGATGCCCATTCTGGTTTGACTATTATCCTCTTTTGAGGTGCTGTAAGACTTACAAAGTTTAGGTTTTATTGGTCTCGTTCTCTACTGTTATGTTTAACTTTATAATACCTAAAGAGATAGACAATTCTTAAGGATACAAGAGGCATTATGGTAACCATTGTTGATAACCTTGTACTCTGTTTTTCCATCATGTGCTATGTCTATCCTTGGTTTTGACTGACAGCTTTGTTTTATCATGCTTGATTTTATTCTCTTACAAAAAAAAAGTAATAAGATCTAAGGGAGCAATAAAGCCCAAAAATATGTAAATTTTGTTGTAATAAAGAGAGGGAAAGAAAAGTGCCCTGAAGGATACAACAGCAAGGGTGTTTAGGTGTGTTGCATAGAAGACCATATTAATAGTTTGGATTGGATTACTGAACACAACTGCTTGCAGTCTCACTGTTTGAATGTTCGCTTTGTGTGCTTTGATCCTGTGACCTGAAACACTGTTTCTAAGATGATAGCGAGTAATCTATTAACTGGTGATAGCTTACTGTTTTTTGTTTTTTTGCCTTTTCTGTAGTTCTGAATTACTTGTACCCTTACACTGTTTTGTTTTGTTCTGCTTTTTTTTTCTTTTTCCTTTTAAATAAAATATTAAAAAAAAAAAAAAGAAAGGATGCAAAAAAAAAAAACAAAAAGGGAAGGATGCACACAGCCCTACCTTTTTCGCAAGCAGCATGGCCGCCGCCTGTGATACCACTGTGTGGCCCAGCAGCAGCCACGCCAGCCTCTGTTTCCCCCACTCCATCCAGAAGCTCCACTCAAAGTCTGTTGGGTCCTACACAACCAAATAGAAGTCAGTGTTACCAGGAGGACTTTACATACAAACTCCAGCGAAAACCACCAGCAGCAAGGGCCATGCAAGTCTGAATCTCGTCACACAGCGTTTACCCACTTCCAGCCATTCCACCCCATGTCCCACCCACCCTGCACTCTCCTTATTTTCTATGTAATTCGGTCTCTGCTAAAAGCCTGGTTATCTCCAGGTGAAACAGAGGTATAGGGACTACAGTCCATTTCCCCAAGGTCACAGAGCCAGTATGAGTTCTGAATTGAACTATCCTTGCTTAGACACCAAAGTGCTTTCCTTAGCAAGAGAAAAGGAAATCAGACACTAATAAAATTACTTAAGGTCATTTGTGTCAAATTTTTGTCGTTGCTGTTGTTCATTGGTTTATTTTTTTCTTTTTTGAGAAAGATTTGGTCTTGCTATGTAGTTCCAGCTGGCCTCAAACTCGTGGCAGTCCTCCTGCCTCAGCCTCCTGAGTGCTGGGATTACAGATGTGTGCCACCACACTTGACTCAGTCATGTTCAATCTTACTATCATTTATAGGCAGGATAATAACTAGATATGGAAATTAACTAAGATCACACAAACTTGCAGTGAAAGAATTAGTACATTTCCCTTCTGCCAAGGAAGCTGTGCGCTCCACATCTGCTCTGTACCCACAGTTCCTGTCTCTGAGGCACTCTTCAGGGCAGGTGAAAATTTCAGGGGTACATGGAAGGATGCCTGGGGACCAGCACCCAAAGCTGGCCCAGGAAGATCACAGCAGCCAAGATTCCCCGAATCACAAAAAATAAAATAAAAGCAAGACTTCATTCCATTTTCTTCAAATAAAGAAATACAAAACCATGCCATCCCAAGTAACACAAGTTGCCTACACCACAAGATTCTGATACACATAAAATTTCCTCAAAGAGTCCTTGCCCCCTGCTGAAGATCTTAGATCTGCTCGAATTCTTTCCATTTAGAGGTGTGCAGGAAATAGCCAGGCGCAGTGCAGACAATTCAATCCTTAACCTCACTCTTGGCCCCTGAGCAGAGCTATTTCCACATATCTAAATTTCCACATAAGTGGGTGGTCAATTGATTGGATAATAATAAGCAAGGTCATGTGATGAAGCTATGCTAGGAAACATCACTCTTGTAACAGGAATAGAAGCAAAAAGATGCTAAAAGCCAAAGTTGAATTTTTTAATGACCCATTCCAAAAAAGACTCTAATGGGCTTACGATGTATCACATGCAAGACCCTGGATTCCATCCCAGGCACTGAAAAATCTAAAGGACCCCAATATTTTACCTTTGTAAATATATTTTTGAACACTAAGAAATACATTTAGCATTCAAAATTTTAATCTGACCCATGTCTCAAAACCTTTTCACGTTTAATGGTTTAGAGCCAGAAATGACACAATGCCACTTAAGAACCCAAACTCCTTCTGTTCCACTAGAAAGCCCAAAACTACTTAGAATCCTGTGCTGCTAAGTTCTATCAGCAACAGCTATGTAGTCTTTCACTGCTATTTCTTTAAAAGATGTCCACCATCTCCATTTATAATAATTACCTAAAAAACAATTACCAGAGAGAAAAGCCGAGCCAAGAATAGTAGAACATGGCCAGTCACTAGCAGTTAATAATTCGAGTAAGAAATTCACAGTCATGCTTCTATACCAAAAGCTTTGCCACACATCTCAAGTAAGAAAAAGCCTCAAACCAAGAACAACTTCTTCACGTTCTGTTCCTTCCCCTACTTTCTTTCTAGACCCACAGTTCTTAATGAGCAACTTCTTACTCAGGATTGTAAGAGGACAAGCGGCCAGACAGGAACTGTGGGTAAAGCCTTGCCTACCAGAAGCCTCCCTGGGACAAACAGGCTGTGCTTTGAAGAAAAGTAATGTACACAGTCTCCTGTATCAGCACTTCCTTCACTTGCAGACCCACATGGTCACCTGTGCTTGCACTTAGAACCTGGGTAGGGCCTGGGATTCTGCATTTCTACACAGGTTATCTGCATCGCTGGTGTGGGGAGCACATTTTGTGAAGCGAGGATGGATCAACCCTGAGCAGTTACACCTCCTTACAGCTAACAGTTCATAATCCCAGAAAATCCTTATCCACTCGGCCCACCCAGATAGCCCATTCCTGAGTCGGGATGAGCCCTCTGCAGCTAATGATCTGACCCTCAAGACCAGAGCTGCCCTGCCCTGGCCACCACCACCACAGGACGCTTAAGCACTTGGCTTAAGTCACTGGACTGCATCAGTTAACCACAGTGAGACTTTATTATGAGGTGTTTAACCTGCAGCCAAGCAACGCTGAGACCTGAGTCACATGATAGGTCAGGGGCTCCCACAGTAATTCTGATTCCTAGAAAAACACTGTTTTCCATCCCAGGAAGGGGGACAGTCTGGACCTGGGGTTTTAGGCTGCCCCCTTCCCTACACACAGAAATGCTCTGCACCAGGCACTGTAGGACACTACAGAAAAATTCCTCACCCTCACGCAACCTTCAGGCATGCACACCTCTCTGTCCCCAAATCAAGACACTCTGAGAGCCAAGGACACAGCAAGAGAAGTCCTAGCAATGTAACTCCGCTGTATTTATTGATTGGCATGATTGACAGAAACCTGTTATTTCTTCTTATATAATTAGTAACAACATTATATATGTATGACACTCTTCAAGATAGTATTTTTTTTTGGTTCCTGTCTAATTAATGGACTTTGTCTTTCAAAGTAGTTTTAAAGACCCCAAAAACTTCACTGAAAGACTTCTAGATTTAATAAGCAAATTCAATAGCTGGTTACAAAGTCAGCACTCAAAAATCAATAGCCTTCCTGCACACAAATAACAAACTCAATGAGAGAGAAATCAGTGAAACAATACCTTTTACAATAGCATCTAAAAAAATGAAATACCTAGAAATCAACCTAACAAAGGATGTAAAAGATTTCTACATTGAAAAGTACAGTACTTTGAAAAATAAGATTGAAGAGGATATTAGAAACTGGGGAGATATCCTGTGCTCTTAGGAAGGAAGAACCAATATAGTGAAAATGGCCATACTTCCAAAACTGTTATACAGATTCAATGTAATTCCAATAAAAAGTTCAATAGTATACATCACAGAACTAAAGAAAACAATCCTAAAACTTATCTGGAACCAGAAGAGATCTGGAATAGTAAAGGCAATCCTGGGCAACAAAGACAAGACAGGGGCTATCACAATTTGTGACTTGAAATTATACTATAAAACTACTGTGATAAAAACAACATGGTACTGGCAAAAGACAGACCCAAAGATCAATGGAATAGATTAGAAGATGCAGACACACTAAAACACCTTATCTTTTACAAAGCTGCCAAACACATTCACTGGAAGAAAGATAGCCTCTTTAACAAATGGGGCTGGAAAAACTGGCTTTGCACATGCCAAAGATTAAGCATAGACCCATATCTTTCAATATGGACTAAGCTAAAATCAAAATGGATCAAAGATCTAAATATTAAAATAGAAACATTAAATCTGCTGGAAGACAGAGTAGGTAAAACTCTTGAAGACATTGGTCTAGGCAAAGACTTTATGAACAAAACCTTTATTACACAGAAACTATCACAAAGAATCCACAACTGGGATATCATTGTATTGAAAAGCTTTTGCACAGTAAGAGAAACCACCAACAGAGTGTAAAGACAGCCCACTATGTGGGAGAAAATGTTTACCAGCTGTTCCTCAGACAAAGAATTACTATCAAGAACATATAAAGAGGCTGGGGATTTAGCTCAGTGGTGTAAGAACCTGCCTGGCAAGCACAAGGTCACAAGTTCAATCCCTGGTACCACTAAACAAATAAATAAATAAAAATAAAGAACTCAAAAAAAATCAGTCCCCTCAGATTTAAAGCCTCAATCCAAAAATGGGCATCTGAGATGAACACACACTTCTAAGATGAAGAAATACAAACAGCAAATAAATAGGTGAAAAAATGTTCATTGTCACTGGTCCTTTACGAGATGCACATTAAAACAACACTGAGATTCCCCCTCAACCTGGAAAGAATGGCTGGTATCGAGCAATCAACCAATAACAAATGCTGGAGGGGCTGTGGAGAAAAAGGAACCCTTCTCCACAGTTAGTGGGAATGTAGAATGGTATAACCACCATGGAAATCAATTTTCCTCAAAAAACTAGTATTGGAGGTCCCATACAACCCAGCTATTCATCTTCTGGGTATCTTCCCAAAAGAATTAAAAACATCATACCACAGTGATATATGTGCACCCTTGTTTATAGCAGCACAGTTTATAACAGCTAGATCTTGGAAACTACCTAAATGCCCATCAACTGAGGAATGGTAAACCAAGATGTGGTATTTTCATAAAAAGGAGCACTACTCAGATATAAAGAATGATAAACTGGACACTTTTATAGGTAAATGGATGCATCTTGAGAACATAATCATTAGTGAAATGAATAAGACACATGTGTAAACATAGTACTGTTTCATTGGTGTGAAGAGCTGAAAGAAAAATATACATATATGTGTATGTGTATAAAAATAGTTAAGAAGTTATACAACTGATTTCTCTTAGTTTGCTGAGGAGAAAGGTTTGTGCTGGTATTGTTAGGACAACTGAAGGCAGATGTGCTCTGGGTGAATGATTTGGAGGTGATAATGGGCAATGTATGTACCATCGTTGTCCCTTGACTGAGGTGCTTTGAAATTTTGTTGTAGTTTTCTTCTTCTTTTTCTTTCTATCTTTGAATAAAATGTATTTGAAAAAAAAGAAAACAAAATAGTTTTAGGTTCACAGTAGAAAGGAGCATAAAATACAAAGTTCCCATCCACCTCCCATTCCTACACAGGCACTGCCTCCTGACTGCAAACATCCCCACCAAACTGGCACCACTGTTCCAAAGCAATCTGCAGGTCCGTACCCTTATTAACCAACATCCATGGTCCACACTAAGGTCCACTCTTGGTGCTG